CCCCAAAACCCCAAAACCCCAAAACCCCAAAACCCCTATATATTTTCTATAAATTGAGCCAATAGAGAAATTTGATCAATAAATTTAGTAGTTCTATTGTTATCCATATCCTGAATTAGTCAGCATAATTTGGATATAAAAATAAGTTAGCTTGCTTTAATCCAAGACTATCACAATTGGCTCTTCACTATAGGAACATGAGGCAAAATTAATTACTTTTTAGGGCTAATATGTTTTGTAGCAGATATAGAATTCGAAGTCATCTCATCCCGGCTGTTTTGCGCTTCTAGTGCTAACTTTCTCTCTTTAGCATGCATCTTTTTGTGTTTGATGACATTTCCTCTTTGCGAAAATCTCTAGGTAAATTAGCAAATAAAAATAATCGATATACCTTCAGACAAGTCTTGCATTGGTAAGGTTTTTCACCCGTGTGCTTTCTCATATGATCGAGTAAGTCCCAAGTTTTATTGTATACTTTAGTTCATCCCTCGTACTTGCAAGAGAGGACGGTGTTAGTTCTCATAGTCTTCTGATTGTACACAAACTTGTGTTCATACTTATATCCGGCAAGTCTCTGGATGCCTTCCTGACTCTTGAGCATAAACCTCTTCTTTTTAGCTTCCTTTTTATTCTCCGTTATCGAGTTAATATGCTCTTTAACAAAGTCTAGAGGTTAAGTCAAAACTAACCCTTAAAAATTAATTGGGACTAAAATTATGGGCTCATGACAGAATCTTATCCTAGTGTTTATCTTATAGCGTAGCTCGAAAATAGTAAGAGTAATATTCACAGCTCAAGATTTGGAGAATTTTCCTGCCATCATATTAGCACAAGATTATTAAAAGACAATCTTATTAAGTTATGTTAATTAAGATAGATAGGCAAGGAATCGTCAGTGAAACTTTACTGTTATCCTAAAGCTCTCTAAGTAAGCTAAGCTGCAATATTAACTCACGAATCTCAATCCTAGGATAAATTTCGAGAATTCATTTAATTAGAGGTTAATGCTAAGATAACATCAAATTTTAAAATAAGTTAAAGCTCATTGAATCTTTCTGGCTTTTATCTCTAGTTCTGAAATAATTTATAGACTTTATTGCAAAATCCTTTATGAAGAAGACAGCAATTAGCAAGTTAATTTCCAAATTCTAGCGTTAATGAGATCCTAATTAGATAGGAACTTTTGAGAGTGGAATAAGTCTCCTGAAAATTTTATTTCCACTAATTCCAAATTCGAAATTTCTAAAAGTTCTCAGAAGAAATTATGGGGCTTTCTAGGAGGCATGATTACAAAAAGAAACAACGAAGAAAAAGCCATCCTTACCAAAGAAAAACATCTCTTGCCCTTGGTTGTCAACAGGCAAAGCAAGTTTTCTAGACCTGAGCATGATTGGTAGCTCTAGTTTCTGGATAATCTCTTGCTCTCTGGCGATCAAAAGGGCTCTTTTATCTTCACAAGGATTCATATTATTTAAGGTTAATTGGAATATTATTTAATGTTAATTGATGTTTCAATAACACACACTAAGTCTGGGGTTTTGGGGTTTTGGGGTTTTGGGGAG